CAATTCTCGGAAGCAGTGATTTCAATAATTAACAATAACTACTAATATTTTTTAAGGTTGAAATGCAGAATTAGTTAAATATTCAGGGAAAAGATTTTCTTATTTCTAAGTGTTTTTCTGTTATTATTAGTATTTTAATTTGTGGTGTCTTTACGACTTGATACTAGAATGAAAGTGGATGGCGATTTCTTTACAAAGATTTGAATTATTGCTATTATTTATATATGTATAAAGAAAATCATAATTAATCATAATTCATTTTTAGAAATTCTCTTAATATATGGTTACAAAAGAATATATCTTATTTTTTTAACTTTTGGTTTCTTTTTAGAAGCTATTTTTAGGTACTTTATTTCCAGGGAATCCTGCTATATCAAAATATTATATGTAGTTCTGAAGTAAGTTATAATAACTTATTTCAAAGTAGTACTTTGACATGTAAAATACATGCGCAAACATATCCTCTTTATAAATCAATGTTCTTTTTTTAAATGCTTTGGAATGCTTGCTTGAATATTATTAAATATATATAAATACATGAAACATTCGAAATAAATCGATTTGGATACCTCGATTACCTATTAATGAGATATTGATAATTTAAAATATTTAAATATTATATTTAACTTTTATATAATTTTATTTAAACATTAGTCTAAATGTTACATAAAAATTATGAAAAAAATAATAAAGCGAGAAATATTATCAATTTAGATATGAAATTTTTCAAGTCTCATTATTATCGGTGTCGACTTATTTCGAATAGTTGATACCCAAGACTTTTTTGTACTTGCATATATAACAAAGACATGTATTTTAGTATTTAAATATATTTTTTGTAATCATTTTTTCCTAAAAATTGTTTTATTCATATACTTTGTGGTAAGAGAAAATATTTTTAATAAGAAACATGGAAGAACATTTTTTTCGTGTTAATTTGTATTTAAAGATGATGAGACAAAGTACTGAAACATTTGTTAAGATCAATTAAATCATCGCGAAAATATTTAGGAGTTACACGATATTTGCATTATGCAAAGATTTAAAAAATATTGTCATTAATTCGCTACCGAAATCACTGCTATTGTCAACAGTCTGGAAGAATCAGCATTTGTTTGTTTCTCCCTGAAGAGGATTTTCTGATATTCGGTAAATAATTTAATTTTTCTTTGCAGATTAATTCTACAAAATCCGATGAAAAAGCTAGGCTGCTAAGATCGTCCTTCATCTAAAAGATTAGTCTTTTTTGTGTTGACGACTAACCAATATATATTCGGCAAAGAGATTTTGATTTGTTTAGATCGATTGAATTAGTTATCATTCATAAAACGTGGCAATAACACGGTCATTTTAAAATACTCGTCAAGTGCATTCTATAAGTGCATTCTATCTTTGATAATAGAATAGGTATTAATTATCAAGCAAAAGAATAATTATACGCATCAGACAAATTACATGATATAATCAGATATCGCGAAAATAATCTTTCTGTTCGTCGTTTACTATAAATATTAGATCGTGATTTTGCTTTTTATTTGATTTTTGTCTTACATCAAATCTTATCACATATCTTTTTATACATTTTTACATTTTCTGAAGATTGAGAAATAAAGTAATTATTACATTTATTAACGATTCTTTTGATTATAATTTATTACTTAAAGTTTATAATACGATATATATAATCTAATCTATAGTTACAATACGCTCTATAGTTACAATTTTATAATTATAATGATAAATCGCATAATAATTAATAATGATAAATCACATAACTAACATTTATTAATGCCTCGTAGAAAAATTACTTTTGTGTTATTATTTATTATTACATAATTTAATATATTTTATGTAATTCTGCATTAAAATATGTTGTAACTAAAATATAAAAATATAAAATATAAAAGCCCTGAAGCCCTTTTTTATACATTTTTATACATTTTATTAATTAATACATAAAATATATAATTAATACATTATTAATTATATATTTTTAATTTTCATTGTATTTCATAATTACATAAAAATAAAAAATAATTCTAAAATAATTCTAAATAAAAATAATTCTATTGTAACTTGCAAAAAGTATTGTATTTTTATATTATTATATTTTACATAATTATGTACTTATATTTAATTTATTGTATGATTTGGTACCTAAAATTTAATTGTATACAAGTAATAAAAATTAAACAATTTAAAATATTTGCTAAAAAAAGAAGACCGTCGATTGAAATTGACAGGAATGATGGAGAGTCTTCACAAATTCAGATTTTATCAACTAGATATTCCGATCAAACGATAATAATTTTTATTACTTGTATTAAACAATACAAATTTTATTGTTGTATTATATTATGTATTATAATGTTTTTTTCTTTGTTATTATCTTTGTTATTATTTTTTTGAATTTTATTTTGTTGTAATATAAAATTTACATAAAATATATTTTATTTGTTGTTTATTTGTTGTTGATTATGTATTTTCATATTTATTCAGTTATTTTTTATTAAATTATATGGTATAAAAAATAATAAATGTAAAAGAATATAAGACGTACGTAAAAAAAAAGACCGATTGAAATCTCTACAAATTAATTAATTTCTAAAAATATAATAGAAATTATGAGATAGAAGTTTATTAACTAATGTCATTAAAATTATAGTAAATAATCAATAAAACATATTTCCGCCAACTATTGTATTGCTACGAATATTCACATTTGGTACAAAATTGTTAATTATTGGAATCTTTAAGTGCTAATATAATTATTGAATTAGCCTAAAACTAACGGGAATATTTGACGGATGTCATAATATTCGATTGCTTCTTGTAATTTCTGCAAGTAAAATTGAATATACGTAGCTACATACATTCATGTAGATGTATTTCGTTAAATTTTATGTAGGACATGATGTAATTTTTCATCGTGTCGTGATAATGCTGCTATAATGTCTTTAGCATTTTGACGATTTGTTTCAAGACAGGGAGCAAATTTACATATCTTGTCTTCCATTATCACAATGCCCCACTGTATGCATAGTTGTAATTTTAAACGTTCGGGAATTAATATTATTTCTCTTATTTTAATAATACGAGTATATAAATATAGTAATGAATTGGGAATCACTTTTTTAGAATTCGATGCAAGAGCTATGGCAAGAATTATTGCAATAGGTGGATTTTCTAACTGAGGTAGTACAAAGGGCATCAGGCCTGAATATATTTTTGGAGGGAGATTGCAAGGAAAGAAGTATGCAGTCTCATAGCAATTGTCATAATCGCAGAACCATGCTACACTTGGAAAAGAATATGCTACATGGAATACTGTTAATTTTTTAAAAGTAAAAGATGACTCAAAATCTATTTTGTATTTATCTGTCATTATCTTCTTCAACAATATAGCTGTTTCGCATGTTGTAAACATTTTATCGTGTTTAACTTTCAAATTATATAAGAAGCATATAATGTGGATGTCTTCTTCAAATGTCATAATGTTAGAAAAAGTAACTGATTGTCGTATATTACCTGAGAGAAAATCGAAAATTATCTCTTGAATAATGTCAGGTTTTTTAGCATTTGTTTGCATTATATGCTGAATAACATCTTTTGGATTGTATACGGCGTGAACTGTTTTAAATGCTGCGAACTCGTCAAGGAAATCTTTCTCAAGGATCTCTGCTTTTGTTTCTAATAAATGCCTTATATGGTGCAATATCAAAATATCTTGCAGTTTTCCAGTTACATCTTGAACTGTAAGAATCTTTGGTATTTCGTTAAAAGAACGAACCTCCATGTGAACTGATTGATTAAACTTTGCTTTTTTGATGTTATGTCAATGCCAACGTGTGCACGATTTCCGTTTTTGCGCTACGAAATATTTAAAATAAAATAAAATAAGTTGCAAAACTATCGATTTAGTGCGATTTGCTGCATAGCGACATTACATGCAAAATAATGCTTTTAGTCGTAATTGTAAAAAACGAAGTAAAACACAAATGAAAATGAGATTTGCTTGAACAGATTTTTTTATGTCTCGAAAAAACTTACGTAAAATACAAATATGTTTTAAAAGATTAAGTTATTTATTTATAATTTATAATAATTAAGTTTATTGTTGTATTATACATACCTGCACGGAGGCTAATCTTTTGCGAATATATTGCAAGCTTGATTTCGTGGAATTTTTCTAATTGCGAGCAGTTTTATATCAAATATCTAAGAAGGGAAAAGTGGGAAACAAGGTAGATATTGTCTCTGTTTGTATTTATTATTAACAAGATTATATACATGTCAATCTATATTTGTGTTTTTGTATGATATAAACACAATGATACATAGGTAAGAATTTTGAAGAAAGTTATTCGAATACTTGTTAAAATCTGCTATTATTTATTTTTTACTTTTTAAATTATTAAATAATCTAAATGATATAATGAATATATATGACACGAAATTATCTTTTAAGAAACAGGATAGACGCCAAGTGCATTACAAAAACATATGTCACGCGAAAAAATATACTCTCCTAATATATAAGCGCGTTGTAATTTTTATTAAATTTATTTGTATATTTTTTGAATTTTATTGAGTTTTATGTCGTTGCATTTTATTAAATAACGTTTTAAATTTGAAATGATATATATACATATATATGTTTCGCCGATTTATTATTTATTATAATTATTATAATGAAAACATTTGACATGTCTATCAAATAATATATTTTATGTTATTTGATTCTTATAATTTTTATAATTCTTTAATTATTTGATTAAAAATATTAATATTTCATATATATCAAATATATACTTACATATACTTTCACTTATGTTACGCTATTACTTTAAATTATTTTTTTGTTTGTTTACTATATTTATTAAATAAAGTATATTCAAAATTTATTATTATATTACTTAACTACATTCTTTCTAAATTATCAGGGAAAATTTTCAATTCGAAAAAAACGGGAAAAACGGGAAAAAATGTGTAGATAGAGCTTTTTTGACATGTTTTTGACATATTTATGATGGATCTTCTCGCGAATGGTTCGATTTCTTATTTACATGACGATGCGAATGATGACAATTTAATTTTGTAAATGTCATGATTTGTAAAAAGGTTGATTGTGGCGTTTATCCCTTTCGTCCTCAGCGTGATCAACAGCTGCTGACGATCGTCGTCTTGGGTCGACTTCCTACAGCGAGATGTGTGATATTTTCATCGCCGATGAATGCTTGCCTACAAACGCTTCTATTTTCTGTAGCCCAGTTTACGAAGGGCCTTTAGGTCCACGTCACCGTAATAGTCTTGGCTGGGAAAATATTGCATGTGATTTGATCATAACATGTAATTATCATTGGTCTTTGAAATATGATTTATATCATTCATAATTTTTGTATGAGACGTGTCGTTTTTTTTTTTTATAATTTATAATCTGACTGACTTCGAAAATCAGGAAGTTCGATCGAAGATTGTAGTTTCAGGAGAAAAAAAACTTAAATCGCAGAAGAAAGAACAAAGAATAACAATCACTTTGTGTATACCAGACAATATCTTGTAAATAATTTTATGAATAAAATGTGTAATTTGTGATTGATTTTTTATCTCTCGACTTAGAGGTAAGAAAATTTGACAAAGTTGTAATAGAATATTGTGTACTCTGTTGAAGTATAATGTACATTCTTTTGATTATTATTTTAATTAATAAAGTTAATTGGATATGTAGAGAGTCGACGTACATGTTAAGATACGAGTTTTCAAGCTTCTACTAGGTTTCAAATTAAAACGTTTAGGATTTGATCAATACATTGCATACGTTACGGTTAAGTTGTATACATATGTAACATCATTAGGCAATAGTTTAACATGCAACGAGTAGCTACACAAAAGGTGTTAAGAAATTATTGAATACAATATTAAATACAGTAAAAATTAAAAATGAAGAAATCTGTCAATATCAATAATTAGCGATCGATTCAAATGGTTTAAGGAACAGGATTAACAGAACAAATAGAGAAATTATCTATATTCTCACCACATATTTAATATTAAATTAATTATAATGGTTATCTAATTTTCTTTTCGAATGTACATATAAATACTATTGCAATCTTAAATAAATTTTATAATTATACATAATTTTAATTAAATGGATACATGTTAAAAATAAATATGATGTTAATATTAATTAAATAGAGCAGCGAATTATTAAATTATTAATTAATTGTTATTAATTAAATAAAATTTTAATGCCAACATTAAATATGCGGTGAAAATATGAGTTGAAATCTTCGAAGAATTTTATTTTTTTATTGTATGGATTTTTCGCTTTATTTAAAGAACACGAAAAACCGGCCGATCTTGCTTACATAATAATGACGTTAAATATCGGAAAGATTTCCGAGTTATAGATTGGATCGTTAATAACATGAATCCAACGGATCTTGATCTCATACGCGATATGAAATCGATATCTTTTACTTTTCTTATTATGTGTTTCATTGAAGAATTAAAATCAATATAATTTCATTAGATTTAATTCTTTAGTTGGAATATTTCTATCGAGAATGGTTTTTGCAAAATTTAATTATATTTTACAATAACAAATATTTTATTATTTTACAATACTTTACAATAGAAATTCTCAGGAAAGGCATTTAAAATAAAACGTTTCTGAAAATATACTATTTAGAAAAACTAATATATTATTAAAATAAATCAGAATTTGCATTAATAGAATAATAAGATGACTACAAATGAAATAATTAATGGAATGTATATATTTTTAAAAAATGTGCAAGTTTGATTGCAAAAACAATTCTCAATGCTCTCTTATGTTCTCGTTATTACGAAATTATAGGTCTCTTCCACTTTTATGATAAAGAAAAAAGGGAAAAGGAAAAAGGAAAAAATAGATTAAATATAGTTTATAAGTGTATATATATATATATATATATATATATATATATATATATATATATAATA